GACCACCAATCCATTGAAGTATGAGCCACTTCCACAGTTTTCCCAATTGTGACATTTTGTTGAATAATCTTTGTGAGTCTTTCAATTCAAGCATATTGCAAGCTAAGGATAAACCTGTGGTCGCCATGTTGCAGAAGATAAGAGATTTGTTAATGGAAATAGTTCAAAAAATAAATGAAGTAATGAAAAGGTACAACAAAGGTGACATATGTCCTAAGATTCAGAATATTTTGGAGAAGGTAAAGGTGAATGCAGCTAGCTAGATTCCTAGATGGAATAGGGGTTTCCAATTTGAAGTTGTTGGCCCATATGGTGAGCAATATAAGGCGGACTTGAAAGAGTGGACTTGTGGATGTGGGAAATGGGATCTGTCAAGCCTTTCTTGTGCCCATGTTGTGGCTGCTACAAACTATATGAGTGAAGAACTAGAACAGTATGTGCATGATTACTATAAAATTGAAACCTACCTGAAGATTTATGAGAACATGTTGAGTCCAATCAATGTTAGACAAATGTTGCCAACAACTAAATATACTAAAGTGCTACCATCTGATGTGAAAAAGAGAGCTAGGAGGCCAAGACTGATAAGAGAAAGAACACATATGTATCAATTGATGCAACTAATTCAAGTAAGCTGGGAAGAAGGGGAATTCAGATGACATGCAAGAATTGTGGCAAGTTAGGACACAACAAGAGGACATACAAAGTCAAAGGCCAATTCTCTTACTTGAAAAATCCTATGAGTTCCACTTAAGTAATTCATATTTTTAATGCATTTTGTTAACTTACACATTGCTAACTTTTGTTTTTTAGTTTTTGCATACCTAGTCTATGGGAAGCCAAGGTCAAACCCAGCTTTTAGGAAGCCAAGCTCAAAGTTAGCCTCAAGCAAGACAAGGTCAGAGTCAGCTTGAAGCAATATGTAGTCAAAGACAACCTGAAAGAAGCTTGGTTGAGAGTCAAGTTACACAAGCAACTCAAGTTAGGAAGAAGAAGTTGGTTGTAAGTTTTCAAAATATATTTGTTCATTAAAATAAATGTCTTCCTTCCATATGTCCTAACAATGGTGATGGCTATTGCAAGTAAAAAGGCGAATGGTTATGAGAACAAGTGACTCAACTCCATTGTATGCAAGCCAGAATGTGAAGGGGTCTCCTGTAAGTTCCAATACCAACACTCCTTTGCAAGGTCAAATGAGATGGAGAGGAAGAGTGGTGTATGATGCTAGTGCCGTCAAATCTCCACTGGGTGAAAGTAAAAATACAGTTGAAACAGGGTAGAGGAAAATGAATGACAAGTGTTGTTTTTGTTTTTGTTTAACATGGAATACAATGTAATGGATGGGAAGGTTTTTGCTTCTTTTTTTTTTTCGTGGTATTTCATCAAATAGAATTTCAAATTCCATAACCTTTATAGTGGTAGGGGCTTTATGTACATTTAAAACTTGGTTTTTGTATTGTCTGCCTCTTTGGTTGTGTATGTTTTGCACAACATGAATGAATAAAAATTGTATCATTGGTGATGCCAAATGAATGACAAGTGTGTGAACTGATCTATGTGAATGATAACTTATTGCCTTTCATGCTACAGTGACAATTTATGTCTTGACTGGTGATGGACTGCTATGTATGTGTGTTGGTGCTTGTTTTTTTTTCTAGTTTTTAGTTTAGGGATAGACATGATGTTCAAGCAAGAATGTCAATTTTGGTGCTTCTACTAGATTGTTATCACCAATTTGAATTTGGAGTGACAATTGTGGTGATAAATTTTGTGTGTGAGTCACAATCCTTTCCCAACTTTTGTGTCTTGATTGGTGATGTATTGCTATGTGTGTGTGTGTGTGTGTGTTGATGCTTGTTTTTTTTAGTTTTCAATTAAGGGATGGACACACAATGAAAGCAAGAATGTCAACTTTGGTGCCTTTACTATACTGTTTTGACCAAATTGAATTTGGAGTGACAAATGTGGTGACAAATTGTGTGTGTGTGACTCACAACCCTTTCCCAACTTCTATGTGTTACCTCTATCTATGTGTGAGTCACCAAATACAAAATAAAAGACACAAAAATAACAGGTCACCAAAAACAAAATAATAGACACAAAAATACACTATTTCATCTCAAAATCATTTTTTTTCCATTCACAATAGTTCACCCGTTATATATGATTTATAAACAGGATACAAACTCCATTCATTCTTACACTATCATACAAGTTGTAACTTTACATTACAAACCATATTCCTACAACCAACCATGATAGAACCAAGCAAATCCATAATTTCTTCTCTCTTCCAATTCTTCTCTTCAGTTGTGCTTCCATCTTATTCAACTTCTTCATTGAATCAGGAATGATCAGCATTGCCCGATCGCACATGGATGGGTCTAACCAGGTAAAGTGATTGCAACCATTATTAGGGCAACTCAGAAATCTCCTCCTAGGATTTGCATTGGTCCATGCTGTGTGTATCAACCTTCTTCTTCCACAGACATTGCAAAGCATCTCGTCCACACCACTTGTGTTCCATCTCCCTTGATTTCTTGAGTTTCGATTGTTCTTCATTTTTTCTCACACTGCTTTCGTTCATGCTCTGTTTTTTTTCTTCTTTATCCCTGTTTTTGTAGGTTAAAGGGAAGAGAAGGGAATGTTAGGTTTTGGCAAAAAAATGCTTAATTTTCTCTCCATCCAAAAGTATAGGGGGCCACGTCACCCATTCTGTCCACTTCTTAACGGAAATAGACGGCAAGGGGTAAAATTGATAGGAATTTACATAGTATGGGGGTAAAATTAAAAATAATAAAATTCTAGGGTAAAATTGAAAATCATGACAAAGTATAAGGGTAAAAATGAGATTTTCTCTAGGAAAAAACCAAAAACAAACAAACAAACTTCATGATATGCTCTTAGGACACAAGGAAATGAAGATTAATCCTTATCATTCAATTTGAATTTTAAATTTAAATTTGTTAAGAAATTTGTAAAATATATATATCTTTTTTCCTTCACTCTTTTTTTTCCTCTACAAATCATTTTCTCTGATTCATAATCCAAATACAAACTAAGACCAAACTTGAAAGAACCTTACTTAGGGGTTGTTTGGGATATCCTAAATAAGTGTACTTTTTGACTTTTTTGACTAAAAAGTTGAGGAAAAAAATATAGTTGTTTGAGTTAACTTTTTGACTTTTTACGAAAAAATGTGTATTAAAAAATTGTATAAATTAGTGTATGGGAGAAGATAAGGACAGTAGGTCGTACCGTCTGGAATAGTGAATTGATGATAAGAAATAGTTGCCTACTTTGCAGGCATTACATTGGACGGTGCTGTTCGGTCCGTGGTGGCCATTACAAGTTCCATTTTGATAATCTGAACCGTTGAATGTGTAGAACTCGTCGAGATATATACACATATGTAAAAAATCACGTTAATCGGATATCAATAGTTATCTGATCGGATTAGTTTTTTTCAACCATTAACTATAACACCATCCATTTTTCATACAAAACTGATTTAATCATGTAATTAGATATATCCAATCAATGTGATTTTTTACAGACATATAGTACTCAACGAGTTCTACATATGACGGTTCAAATTATCAAAACGGAACCCATGATGGGCTCCCACGGGCCAAACAACACAGTATTGTTTGTGCACCCCGCCTGTGCAATTTTTCCAAATCATTTCAGCAACTCAACAACAGTCTGTGGGACGGTTCAGACTGTGTGGTAATAATTTGTGTGTAAAATTTTTTTTATTTTTTTTTTGTGAATAGTGATACTTTTTTAACTTTTTGAATTTTTTTTGGATATCTCAAACCAGTCCTTATTCACAAACACCAAAAAAATAGTTTTACATCGATTTTAATTAGAAAATTACAAAAATGAAACCAATGGTTTTGAACTATATTTACAAACAGTGGATGGATTGGAAGGGAATAATATAGTTTAGTAAGACAGGTAAATTAAGTGAAGATATATTAACCCTTACGAAATTACGGAATGAATTGGAACTATTGATGAAGTTTGGATAGAGGACTAAATAGAAATATTATGAGTTAAATTGACAAAATTGGCTGTGTTTAGTTTGTTTTTGGAATTATGATTCTAAAGAAAAAATTTAAACCACTTTTCAAAATTTATAACTAAATACATAATTCAAAATTACTCAAAACTCAATTCAAAAATTCATTTCAAAACTCATAACTAAACAGATAACTCAAAACTCAATTCAAAACTCTTTTGATGATATAGTGTTGAAAATGATTAGTAGTGGGATTGTTAAATTATTTTTATACAAAATCTAAAAAAAATAATTTCTATATTTAAAAAATATCTAAAACAAATATATATATATATATATATATATCAAATAGCAGGTTGCAATTGCAAAAGTAAATAATTAAAAAAAAATTTCCACTCCACTATTCCTGTCAACCGGCCGAACGTCCAAGAAGATGTCCGGGCAGACAATCAGAAAAACCCAATCCGCTCTTTTTAAAATTTAAAATTCAAAAATTCATTTCAAAACACTTTTCAAAACTCATAACCAAATAAATTTTCTTTTTTCAAAACTCAATTCACAATTCCACACTCAAATCACAACTCTAACAGGAGAATCACAATTCTAAAGCTAAACCAAATGCGACCTTAAATATTAAAATTCAAACTGACACAAATCTCTTACTTTAAGTATCAAAAGCATCAAAAATGTAATTAACCCTAATTATTGTGTTATGTTTTCTAGTTTAGGAACTAAATGTATTTTTTGGCCCAACATGACATGGAATATTTTTGGGGCCACAGACCCTCGCTTCTATCCTCAAGCTAAGAATGAATAGGGTTTGGGCCTACTTAAGGAATATTAGGCTTGGGGCCTAGGCTAAGCTGGATTGCAAAAATCTAAACATACCCAAATCATCGATGTTTTTTAGGATTTTTTCAAGGTTTTAACAGCACTCTTTTTTTATCCATTGCAGGAAACCGTAAATCAGAAAAACTCAGGAAAAAGAAAAACCAAATATATTGATATATAACTGTATTACAAATCCAAGGAAACATTCAGTTATTACTTCTTCATACATGAGCAAAGAAATTCAGATCAAGATATGCTCATATATCATCACAATCAATTTCCAGTGCAAACATCACTTCATCTTTTCTTGAACCTGCCACCCCAAAAAGGATTTGATTAGGATGCAATGCTAATTTCACAGAGTACAGATTAGTATGTGTGAAAACTTTCTTCATCAGGCTTTTATGATTTTTCAAAAATGCCCACAACAATTGATGAATTTGAAAACTGCAATGTGAAAAATCAAACTGATTTGAATTTTTAGATCTCCACACAACCATGGATGGTTTCTATTTATCTTATTCATTCATAAGACATAGATATTTGCACATATATGTGTGCACTCACTGCTAGTTTGTGTATATGTGCAAACTTGAAATTATCTAATTATTGTTAATACTTCTGACAAATTATAGAATGATAAAAACCAAATGCAGATAAATGCCACAAATTGAATCCCACTCCTTGACACATAGCACAATTAAAAGTATGATGCTTCATGATGTTTAAGAAATGGTAATGCCTAAACTCTAAACCAAGATGGACCATAAAAGCCTCGGCCTCAAAGTCATACCATTTGCCCATGCTCACCTTTGAGGTACATGGATTAGAATCCATAGCACCATGTCAAGTTGTAGGTCAAGAAAACCAATATGGTGTCTTGGCATGGTTTGGATTTTGGATACTTGAAATGAACCCAAAATTCTCCTTACCCCATGGCAAACACAAACATGTAGGATCATAAAATGATTAATGTACAATAGGAGAGAGAGAGAGAGAGAGAGAGAGATGCAGTTGCACATGAAAGCATAAATAAAAGAAAGGTGGGGATCTTACAACTTCGACAGTGGAGCACCAGAAGGGGTCTGCAATGCATCATAGTGTCCATAACCATGATAGAGAACACGAATTGGGTTTTCCTTGCCATACTCTTGACCATATTCCGCTACAATCTTATGACGACCAGACTTTTTATCACACATGAAAACCGTGATAGGAACCCTGTAAACAGAGAAACGTCGAAAAGGATTTGCATTGTGCGACTAAAACAGAACAATCATTTCCTGGACCATCAGTTTAGGAAGTTTCAACCTTTGAATTGGTCTAAATGACTGTCGAGTCAGTTCAACCAGAACCAAATACAATATCTACATAATCAATGAAATTCATATATATTGAAGTTCTTATAGTGAAGATTTCAAGCATTAGTCCATTTATACAATTACATTACTGAACCCCATGATTTGGTCCAACTTTTTAGTTGAGGAAATAAATTTATGATATAAAAGACCTACTGTAGGACATGTGAGGACATCAGCAGCTCAGGTTCCCCTCCCCAAATGTGGGGTTGTCGCATCTGCGTGACATATGTGTCAAAATCACCTTCAATGAACCTGCAAATGCATAAATTTTCAATTTCTTGATGCAGAATAAATCTCAATGTTTGACTTAATAATAGGTGCTTAAAGTATACATTCAGGCTACATATGAAAAAGCAGTAGATTACGCAATGTGGTAATATATGTGACCACTTCTAAACTATAAAATGTTAAGACAATCCTAAGTTGTATAAGAATGATTTAAAGGATTATCTACAATTCGGAACCTTAGACAAACAAGCATGATGAAGAACATTTCTTTCTATACAAAATATTTCTCTTCAACAACCTATAACTACTGAGTTTTCTAAGTTCTTCAATTGAATCGTTAAACCAAAAAAAAAGAAAAAAAAAAGAAAAGAAAAAAGCAAAATAAATGCATAATATGAATCCTCAAAAACATCTTACCATTCAGTGTCCGTCCGCCTCTTGATGAACTCATCAGCAACCTATCAAAACCAATTGATGTTTTCAAAACAGAATTAAGTGAGGCAACTGAGAAAATAAAATCAAAAGAAAGTTGGTGGCTAGTAAGTCATTTACAATGCCATCAAAAATGAAGGAAAGAACAGAAAAATAGATAGATACGATTGTGTTCTCTAAAACTTTATTTCTTGGAATTGTGGAGATATGAAGAACCAAAAAATGAAAGCATGAAATAATGCTCGGCGATTGGTACAAATTAACTACTCATTTAGTATCAACTGTATAATAACAATCGAGATATGTATACAAGATCAGCGAAGCATTAGACCCCTCAAGAAATCAAGAAAATTAATGAGATAAGTGTGTACCTTATCTCGGAGCTCATCAGCAAGTTCTTTTTGAAGGCTCTCACTAGGGGATGGCTTTCCTGATCTCAGATAAGCACCATGAGCCACGGACCGGAACAAGCATCTTCCATCTCCTGGTATGCCTGCAGCAAATGAATTTTTATATTTAAAAATTCATCCAATGTACGAAACCAAACATAAAACCATAAGGACACAAATTATACTGTTGAAGTAATACAATTGTAGACAACAGTGGAAGTGCAATCATAACTACAGAGTTGTTATCAAACAACCCCATCTATATAGAGCATAAAAATGGACAGAACCATACTTTATGATTAGAAAGATCCCTTTTAGCCTTCATTTGGATTCAAAGCTTTAAAAATCCCAAATTGAAGTGTTTGCGAAGACTTACTCTTTTAAAAAAAAACACACATAAAATACAACAGTATGTTAAATTCCAAATCGATTTGTCACAACAGACGAGAGGTGATGTTTTAAGAATATCAATAACACTAGGATTTAGAAATGTAAATCTGAAATACTTACTCGAATATACGAATGATAGAACACTACAATTCGAAAAAAAGAATATTCAAAGGAACAACAAATTGTACAACACTACAATCAGTAACTTAACAACGTTCAGTCATGTGAATGGCACGGGCAAATAAATTTAAATCACGATGAAACACTTAAATTTATAACCTACCTTTTTCCTCCAGAACATCATTTCAGCAAAATTACCAATGTCCGATTAAAGCCAAGGACTCTTGGTTACGAGAAAAAATTTAAAGTTTGATACTTCTTCAGTAAAAAGGTTCATTCTTCTCCCTCAGAAGTTGCAAAAAATTAAATCCCATAAAAATTGAAAAATTAAACCCCTGTATTTAATCATAATGCTGCTGTTCTCAGCCTAAAACCAGAAATATTAATTTTGAATTTAACATACAAAATATTTTTTAAAAAAAACTTGAAACCAAAAGAACAGAAGAGAAAAGAGGTGAAAAACACAAACCTGAATCCCAATCCATTCTAATTACCAGAACTTTCAAATGAGAGAAAATTATCTTTGGATTCGACAACTAATAAGGGCAAACATGAAGAGCTATCACAAGAAAAGCACAAAATGCAAGAAAAGAAATAAGAAGCCCAACGAAGTATATGAAGAAAAGCATCAATTTCATAGCAACCAAGACAGCAAGCCAATTTTCAATTTTTTTTTTTTTTTTTTGGAAAAATGAAGAAATATATGTATTTAGTCAGTTCTTCAGCTTTTCTCCCATTTTTTTTTTCCCTAGAAAATCAGTAGGAAATAATCTACATCAGAAAACTGATCCAATAGCAACAACACATGCGAATTGTTTGAAAATCGTTATAGAAATTTAGCCAATTCTTCCCCTTTGCTCCCATTTTCCCGAGAAAATCAGAAGGAAATAATTTACATCAGAAAATTTCTCCAATAGCAACAACACATACGATTGTTCGAAATCGTTATAGAGCTAAAGATTAACAAAATTTGTATATATATATTTACGTAGTCAATTCTACAGCTTTTCTCTCATTTTCTCGAGAAAATCAGAAGGATATAATTTACATCAGAAAATTGCTCCAACGGCAACAACACATACGAATTGTTCGAAGATTGTTACCGAGAGAAAGATCTGGTTTCGGCATGGTTTTCGAAATTACGATAAGCAAAACAACATATCGATTAGTACCATCACGTTCATCGAATTGATACGACTTGTAATCAATGTTAGCATTTTGATTCGAGATGGTGAAGATTACCTGCTCATCATGATAACGAATCTCAAATCCCAATTGCGGTGTACATGCGACGATCACAGAATCGAATTCGATGCTCTTCCATTTCTCTCTCTCTCTCTCTCTCTCTCATACAAAGATTCGAGCTAGGGCACGGAGAGACGAGGACTGGCGACTCAGAACATGACTCGCTCGTTTTCCGAGTCGTGACTCGGAGCACGAGTTAATTACACTTTTCACCCTATAGTTTAAACAATTTCACATTACACTCTACAATTTTAATTTGAACAATTTTATCTTGGGTAAATGACTCTGACACCCCCTTGAAGTTTATATTTATTATAGATTCCCCTTACTTTTTGTAAATTACATCACTTTTCATGAGGTTTAAAGTTTCATTACAGATTCTCCCTCAGCAATTTAATTTTTTTAAATACCAATTTTGCCCTCACTGGATAAATTACATTGACACCCCTCACATTTTAGAAATTATAATCCCCTCCCTAATATTTAAAGTAGCATTACCAATTGCCCCCTCAGTTAATATTAGTTGGAAAAAAAATTAATTGAAAAAAAAAATTAATTGGGAAAAAAATTATTTGAAAAAAAAAATTAATTGAAAAAAAATTTTGTTAGCAAAATTTTAAATTTCTGTTTAAAAACCTACATAAACTCATTTCTTGAATTTACGTTTTTCCTCAAATTTACAAACTGAGACAATTATTTATAAACCAAAAAAATTATCAAACAAATTTTTATGACAGTTTTTAAAATTTTTGTAAATATAAATTAAAAACTGAAAATGAAATAGTTACCAAACAGGCTTCAGATGGTAAAAATGTCGTAAAATTAACAAATAATTAAATAAGTTACCAACGTAAGAAATGACTTATCAAAAGATTCTTAGGATATGTATGGTTTGATTTTTAGAATTTTTTTTAAAATTAAAAATTAATTTGGTTAAGAAATAAAAAATAAAAAATTATTATTATTTTTATATAATTTTTATCTTTCGAGTGGTTAAAAATAATTTGTTACAAATAAATTGAAGTAGCCATACGTATATATATAACCTGCCCAAAAGTTAAAATAATAATTATTTTTTACATTTAAATGATAAATATTTTTTATTTTTTATTTCTTAACCAAATTAATTTTTAATTTTTTAAAAAAAAAATTCTAAAAATCAAACCATACATAGCCTAAGAATCTTTTGATAAGTCATTTCTTACGTTGGTAACTTATTTAATTATTTGTTAATTTTACGACATTTTTACCGTATGAAGTCTGTTTGGTAACCATTTCGTTTTCAGTTTTCAATTTATATTTACAAAAAATTAAAAATTGTCATAAAAACTTGATTGATAATTTTTTTGATTTATAAATTGTAGCCTCAGTTTGTAAATTTGAGAAAAAAACGTAAATTCAAAAAATGAGTTTACGTTGATTTTTAAACAGAAATTTAAAAATTTTACTAACAAAAATTTTTTTCAATTAGTTTTTTTTTTTCAAATAATTTTTTTTCCAATTAATTTTTTTTTTCAATGAATTTCTTTTCCAACTAATACTGACCAAGGGGGCAATTGGTAATGCTACTTTAAACCTTAGAGAGGGGATTGTAATTTCTAAAATATAAGGGGTGTCAATGTAATTTACCCAATGAGGACAAAATTGGTATTTAAAAAAATTAAATTGCTGAGGGGAGAATCTGTAATGAAACTTTAACTCTTAGGGAGGGAGATATAATTTCCAAAAGGTGAGAGAGAATTGCAATAAACATAAACCTTAGGGGTCTCAGTGTAATTTACCTTTTTATCTTTATATTTTAAGTCAAATTTTAATTTTGTCTTTCCTATAAAATTTTGTTAATTTTGTCCGTGTGAAAATGTTATGTAATTAACAAGTGTTTTAAAATTATTAATTCTAACCTGTAGTTAAAATTGATGAATCAAATTGAAATTTTAGAAAATTGAAAGTATCTCAAAATTATTAACTTTAATCTCCAATTTAGATAGAAGAATCAAATTGAAAAAATAAAAAAAATTACAAATATATCCCTGAAATTTGCTTAAAATACAATTTAACCTATATAGTTTTGAAAATTACATCTATCCCCTCTGGAAGTTTCTAATTTCATAACAAATGACATATTTTATTAATAAATTATCGAATCATTTAAAAGTTTTAAATAATATTAAAATTTTATTTAAATTAATAATTCAAGTAATTTTATTATTGTATTGAAAAGCAGTTGGCAATTTTATTTTTCAAGTAATTCTGTTAAAAATGGATTTGAGGAAAGAAAGAAAAGTTTTTTTGCTGTGTTGGGTTAATGGGTTTGGTTTGGCCGCTCAAGAAGTTCATCACCATGGATGAACTTCCATTTTCTTCTGTGAGCCAGACCAAAAAAGAAAAATTGGAAGAAAATAGATTTGAGAGAAAATGGATTCTGTCCTTTCTCTATTGCATCTGTAGACTACTCAAAACACTCCCTCTCTCCCTCTCTCTCCTCAGGAACCCAATATAACTTCCCAACTCTTCTCTCTCCCTCTCTCTCTCTCTCTCAAATGGCAAGCCCAACAATACTCTCACCTTGCAGCAGTGGAAGACGAAGCAGCAACTCCAACTCCCCCGAGTTCGAGTTTTGTATGCTCCGAAACCCATCTTTCCCTCCGAATCCATTTTCATCTTTCCCTCAGAGCCCAACAATAGATTTGACAGAATCCATTTTCTTCTCTCAAATCCATTTTCTTCTTCCTCCTCCCTTCAAATCCATTTTCTTCTTCTTCCTCCTCCCTCTCGACTCGATCTGCAGCTCTGCAAATTTTTTTTTTTTTTTTTTTTTGTTTACCTCCCCCAAAACGACGCCGTTTTGGTGAGGGATCATCTCAGCCGTCGGATGCGTTAATGGGACACGTGTTGCACTCTAAGGGACCACTCTAGAGGATCACTTCAGAGGATCACTCTAGAGGATCCGGACGCGAAAATGTTATATAATTAACAAGTGTTTTAAAATTATTAATTTTAACCTGTACTTAAAATTGATGAATCAAATTGAAACTTTAGAAAATTAAAAAGTATCTCAAAATTGTTAACTTTAATCTCCAATTTAGATAGAAGAATCAACTTGAAAAAATAAAAAAAATTACAAATATATCCCTTGAAATTTGCTTAAAATACAATTTATCCTATATAGTTTTGAAAATTAAATCTATCCCCTCTGGAAGTTTCTAATTTCATAACAAATGACATATTTTATTAATAAATTATCGAGTCATTTAAAAGTTTTAAATAACATTAAAATTTTATTTAAATTAATAATTCAAGTAATTTTATTATTGTATTGAAAAGTAGTTAGCAATTTTATTTTTTCAAGTAATTCTGTTCAATAAAAATATTTGATAATGGGAGTATTTATAATATTCCAAACCATAGGAAGCAATTTATATTTTAAACAAATCCTAGGAGTGTGTTTGTAATTTATCTAAAAATTTAAAGTATAGAGAGCAAACTGTTCAATTGAAATTATAAGAATTAGAATGAAATTTGAATCAAATTATAAAGTTAAAAAAGTGTAATTACTGCCTTGGAACATTGTTGTTTATGTGTCCAACTCTGGACCCAGGATTGTGAAGGACCAGGAAACGATAGCGAGTAGAGAATCAGATCCACTAAAATAGCTTAAAAAACGGCCATATAACCAGATTTTTAAACTCCTTAGAAGCACCACATATAAACAAACAAACAATACAACGATATTAACGGTCAATTTTCCTATTTTCGCGCCACATGAAACAATACCCACAACTGTCTCTATCTTATCTCTATACTCTCTTCTCCAAACTGTACCCAATAAAAAAATGTTTATTTTATATGATTATTTTGTTTTTCAAACCAAAATTTTTGTTTCTGAACCAATCTTTATCTATCTATGAAGTTAATCAGATAAAGTTTTTAATTTCTGAGCAAGAAGGTTTGTTGTGAAAATTTTGGATTCCCGGTCGTCTTCCTTGTCAGTGGTATGAGCTACTAACTCAAATTGAATTCTAGATTATGAATTACCTTCAATATTACAGTTTCTTAAATACATGTATATTTATTTATAGCTTCTCTGTTCATCTAACAATATTGTGATTATGATGTTTTTCCTTATTTGGCAGAGGAGAAGCAATAATAATAATAATAATAAAAGGTTAATTTCATTTTTATTCTTCGAACTATTCTATTTTTGCTATTTCATGCGTAAGTTATTGATTTCACTTACTTAGGCATTAGAGTTTTGATTTCAACTCTTGTGGTTCAATTGGAGAAATATGTCCAAATTAATAATCGTCAAAGTTTAATTTCTTGGCCAAAATCTCATTTCAGAATTTGAACAACCTAAGCAAGGGCGGGGAAAGGGAGTTGGTATCCAAACAATTGATTTTGTTATGAAGTTGATGTCTAAACATTTGATTTTTTGTTTGAAAGTTCAAAAAGTGTATATTGAGATAAAGTGGTGAGGATATAGAATTCTTGAGGATAAGGGAGGGGGAGGAGGATGAAAAAACAGATGGATATTTGGTTATAGGATGTAAGTTTTCTAGTTTAGCGTAAGTAAGAAGATGGATGTTTAGTTATATGACTTAGATTGTTCGAATTGTAAAATTACTTTTTTGCCAATTAGATTGACTAAAGTCAGAAATTCTTGGAACATAGATAAAATTGATAGTTTAAAGATGAAGTAAAAAAATGACTATAGATTATAGGATAAAAGTGAAATTCACCCAAAAAAATTATTAAATATGAGATGCTGATCTTTAAAACCACAAAGAGAATCAAGAAAACAATAGTAGATTGAATCATAATTTGCTTAGTACATAAATGTATGCAGCAATAGTTATGCAAATTGCTGCATATCCTCACTTACTGTTTTTTAGACTGAATTTTCCTAGGAATCAAAAGCAGCCACCACAAAGATGTCGAGGAGACGACGAAAGCCATTGCACACTTGTGGAGTTTTACTCTCTACACTTGCATGTAAAGCCTACACAAAAGCTCGAGATATCAAAGGACCAATAGGATCAATGACGAAAAAGATTATCACAATGGCCACACCAACAATACCATTTGTCCATGCCTTGCAATATCAATGGCTAGCAGTTCTCTCCTTCGCCGATGACCACATCCTAGTCATTGAACACATAATTGAGACCCTTTTCCCACCATCAACGCGGTTATTTGACAAAATAGACAAGCTTGTCCACTCTGCAGAAGCTCTACCTGCAAAATTTGACAATGCAGTGATCAAATTCCCTTCAATTATACACCAAATTCCATTTCTAGATTGGGGGTTGGTCTTTCTGATATCGTGGTTGAATTTTTTTATATCTAAGTTGACTCACTGTGGATCGAACAGTGCAAAGGAGAAGGAAATTAAGGTTGATATAAACTACAATGATATCAATAAAGAATCAAAAAAGCCATCTATATTTGCTGCTTCACAAGATGAGCCTACAATGGTTACTCAGAGTGAGAATGTGGGGAGATTATCTCCCATATCAGATTTTGAAAATGAGAGTATGACAGGTCACACGACAGACAAGTCCGATGGCATGAAGTGCAGTTACAAGGAAATATTAGAGAAGGGTAAAAAGGGAAATGCAGAAAAGAAAGAAGATGGGTCTGAGGAGGCTAATCCTACAGCCAACACTAGCGAGACAGGAGATGTGGAGAACAGCAAGAATGATGAAAATGAAAACACCGGAAAGGAGAATCCAATTTTACAACTATTTGAGGCAAGCTGGCACATGAAACTGGGGAAAGGAAGTAAACCCATGATGCAGCGTTCCCTTTCGTACACATGACAAAGGAAAGAATACAAGCATCATTATGGCGTATCATAATTGAATGTTAGAGCAGTTTCCGATGTTTTTGTGATGTGGGTGTGCCAATGTTTTTTGTAACTAGCAGCTGCCTGTTTTGTGGGTCAGTGTATAGTCTCTGGGATTAAGCTTATCGATTGAGAACCTACTATTAAACCAATAATGTGTACTTATTAAAGTGCATGTCAAAACTATGTACTTAAGCCATGGAAAATATTAGAGGAGCTTTTAAAGGAAGCTTAATGTAAGATTGATTTCCCTGTGTGTTTTTTTTTCTTTTTTTCTTTTTAAACTAAGAGATGCACGGATTTTCACTAAGCAAATGCCTGAGAATTGTTTCTGTCATTCAATGCCGAGCAGCACAAATTGCGGAGAAAGTTAGAAAGGTTGCCACGATCATAGATATAACTTGGGCATTTTGTCGAGCATTTTAAATACAGACTAGGATGCATATATCAATCAACAATTACAAGAGTTGTTCAGAGCATAGGGATTGGCACAAAGATATAACATGGGCAAGTAATTCATATGCAGACAAAGACATACATAATTCAGCCCAATTGCCACCATCATGCATATGACTTGGGCATTTTGTAAAGCAATTGATATGCAAACAAAGATCATATTTCAGCCAAACAAATACCAATCAACAATACCAGTGCATAGAACCCATAGCAGAGACTGCCCATCGTAATAACTTGGGCATTTTGTTAAACACTTCATATGAAGTTAATTCAGCCCATCAACAACACCTACTTTGCATTAGAAAAATATTCTGTATTTTCTAGTGTTTGGTATGAAGAAAAACAAAAGTCATAAAAAGCAAACCTAGGAATACGCCCCAACCAAACCTAAGAAAACAATCCCTACAAAAATGTTTATAGAATACATTTTCCGTTAGAAATTAATTTCTACAAAAACAAAATCTAATGAAAATTGAAACTATGTTTTGGACAGGAGCCTCGCGAACGTAGGCACCGACTAACACAAATTATGATGTAGACTCTGCCACTTAAGCAGATCTTAGGCGGGCACCCCTCCTAAGTGCAATGAAGGTCACCAACCTAGGCCATAGACCTTGTTGATCATCCGTTAGACACCGTCCAGGTAAGTATGTTGTCATTGTTGAAACAATATTCAGGGTAAAATAAATAACTTGAACCCAAATCAAATAAATAAAAAAAATTATTTATAAAATTTACTTACCGAAATGAAACAGTACAAAATTGATCAAGTCGAGTGTGTGACACTCTGTCCTTAAGACAGATTCATCCCGCTTCAGTGCTTATGGATAAATGATGTCTATCTCCCAAGATACAATGATCTACACAGATTGTAGTAGCACTCCAAATAATCTGTACAGCGAACTAGAACCTATGTTCTATATTCTCAGAATTTTTTTTTAAAAAACTAGTATAAAGAATATATGCATGCAAGAGAGCAAAATAGAAGGAAATAAGAAAATTTCGGATGCTCAAACTACTGGAAAAGTTGTAGTATTTATAAGCTAAATGGTGACTTTTTAGGAAAGGTCGAACAGGTGTAGATTTGAAATGAACAGATGCAATTCAAATTGAATAGGTGCAGAAATTCAAATCTGTTTGAAACAAATTTGAATCTATCTGGGAAGAAATAAAACTGTCTGGTGCAAATCTGTTTAAATCGAGTTGAAAATTTTATTTGAGGAATGGACTAGAAGAGGCACTGTTTGGATAGAAATATTGAATGTAAATTTGGCACAAAATTTGAATTAATTTTGTTCATAAAAAATAATTTTCCCGCAAGAATTTTTAGAAAAAATTCAAATAAATTTCGTCCAAAAAAATAATATTATGACCCACCAAACCCACAACTAGGCTGGGTCAGGCGGCGACAGTGCGTGTGGTGGTTTGAGCCAAGGCTCATTTTGTCCATAACTCTTCATTTCTACAAATTTGGGGCCCACCCCAAGTTTGTCCACCTAAAGCTTATATACACACAAAAGCTCTCTTTAAGTTTCTATGTGAGAATCCATTTCAAGGAAACTCATATTTTACTTCTTTAATTATTCATTCCACAAACCTGACAATCAATTTCAAGAAAATTCATATTTTACTTCTTTAATTGTTCATTCTACAAACCTCATTTTAAGAAAATCCATATTTTACTTCTTTAATGACGTTAACTTCTCATTCTTCTTTAATTGTCCATTCCACAAACTTCCCATTCTTCTTTAATTGTCCATTCTTTAATTGTCCATTCCACAAACTTCCCATTCTTCTTTAATTGTCCATTCCACAAACCTGAAAAGTCCATTCCACAAACCTGAAAACGACGTTAACTTCCCATTCACCATGGTTTTGACGAACCATTTGCTATGCGGTAAGAAATTCGTCATCTCTTTAGATCCACTCTAAAAGACATTTGGGATCCATTCAAATTTGGACTCAAAGTTAGCCCATAATAAATCTATAAAAACCATAATTTCCAACAATAATATGGGTTGTTTTGGTGTATTTGTAGCCTCACTCTAACACATAATACTTTTTCTACTTCCTGATGTGGGATTTCATTTTCATCGCATTAACATGGCAACCTATTCTAAACTGGTTTAAGTTCTCCAAACGGGTTTGAGACAACTGTGGTGTTGCCAATTCTAATACCTTCTGGACATAATAAGGAATTACTTATCTAAAAATTCTATTTATAAATGTTATAGTAGTTCAGAATGGATTTAAGATTTTTTGAATCAATCAATCCTATTTAGTAAAACTAAGAATATTATTAATTTTTTTTAATTTTTAAAATCAAGAATATTATCAATTTTGTATAATAATATTTTAGATAAATGTTTTATTAACTAATAAAAAAACATAATATGAGGTTAAATGCTTTTGCCTTTCTATTTATTGGTTTAATTCAACTATTCAATAAAACTGAGAATATTTTCACTATGCTTGGTTATCATTTTTCAAAAATACTTTTCAGAAAATTATACTTTTTTATTTTCCGTGTTTTTTTGTTTTTACTGAATTTTTTTAATATTTTGAGCAATTTTTTTAATTTTTAAACATACCTAACATACATATACCTAAAAAGTAAAAAAAAAATGAAAAAAATCTTTTAAAAATTCACTAAATACCAAAAATACAAAAAAAAATACCAGAATTCAATACATTTTTTGTATTTTTTATGTATTTATTAATTTTTAAAAATATTTTTTCACAAGTTGTTTACTTTTTAGGTACATCTAAGTAAGGTGTATTTAAAAAAGTAAAAAAAAATGTTTAAAATTTTAAAAATATTCACTAAAAATAAAAAAAATACGAAAACCAAAAAACTCAATTTTCAAAAAACTTAATTCAAAAAACTCAAACCAAATACACTGTTTTTTCTAGTTTTAAAATTAAGAATATTATCAGTTTTTTCATTTTTAAAGTTTTTTTTTTCTTTTCAATTTTGAATATCAATGTTCCATCATCATGCTCCTTTATAGACGCAAAATTTTCAGTGTTGCACAAAAAAAATAATTCAGTTTTTCAATTTTTTCAAAAAAAAAAATTTGTCTTGTTTTTTTGCACATATTTTTTTTTTAAAATTTTTTCAATTTGAAAGTTGATGTTTTGAAAATCAAAATAAATATCAAATCATTATGCTCTTTTGTAGATAATCATAAATGATAAACAAATATTATTTGAAAGGCAATTCTAATTATTAATATTTTAATGAGATTTGAAATTTTAAAAAATCTTAGGCCTCGTTTAGGAGCAGGTTATTTTAGTAACTTTTTGGTTTTTTGACTAAAATATGAGGTAAAAAAAACTAGTATGTTTGGGGTGACTTTTTAACTTTTTATAAAAAGATATGCAAAAAGTAGAGAGAAAAGAGAATGTTTAACTTTTTAGTATAAATTATATGATTTTTGACTTTTTTTAATAACTTTTTAACTTTTTGATTAAAATATTAATTTACCAAATGAGACCTTAGTTATAATAGAATATAAGTTCATAAATCAAAACTTGAATATAAATGTCTTTAATAAGTAGATGAATGGAGAGCAAGTACACCACTCTGGCTAAAATCGACCGAAGTGGTTGGCTCGATTGATCCATCTTTGCAGCCCACACATATGGAGACCACCTATAACCAGCCACCGAGCACATATGGAGACCACTTATAACCAACCACCTCGGTGGCTTTCTCCTGGTGATCGGCTTAATCATTAACTTTGAATAATTTTTAGTGCCACGTAGAAAAGTATCACAGGATATAGAAAGGTCAAGCACTCAATTAAGACAGCTTAATCAGCTAGGATTTATTTTTATATAATTTCCTCATGGTAGAGGAACTTTTATATGGTGCACATGAGATATCATTTTTAAATTCCTCCAACCATTTGATTCGGATAAAAAAGAAAATTTAGCCATTGATTGGTAATGTGCAAAATCATATGCAAAACACGACTTTGACTTGCCAAATATGTAAGCCTCACCCTGTTAAGATTTTTACTCAGCACTTTACATGGAATTTTTTATTATTTGAGAAAAGAGATCCAAGGGGAAATAAAAACCAAAAGTAAAATTAAAATACGATAAAAAAAAATAAACAATAAAAGTGGAGGGAAAAATTTTAAAGGAAAATTTATCTATAAATTTCATTTAGAGAAATGGTAACCTATTTAGTCTTAAAGAATTTTTTATAGAACAATTAGTCCTATTAATTTTGAAAAAATAGATTTAATATATTGCACATGCCTAGTCTCTCGCGGTGTATCAACAGATTGTCCGCTTTGGGGTTGGGCCGCTGCGAGCTTGCCCCTTCACGGTTTTGTTCCTCCCCCTGGAAGAGGGGAAAAGGCCTGTTGACAGATGGAGGGGGCCAGTACGCTTATAAGGTAGACGAGGAGTCCCTCCCGAGTCGATGTGGGATAGACCCCAAACTCACGTGACTGGCTTCTCCCGTCCCGGCAAGATATTGTCCGCTTTGGCCGGAGCCTCACGGTTTTGTTCCTCCTCGGGAGAAAAGGCCTCCCACAAGGTGGAGGGGGCCAGTACGCTTATAAGTTGGTTGCAATGTCCCTCCCTGGTCAATGTGGGATTGACCCAACATAACCCCCCAGGGGACTGGGCCGCGAACAGCGGGAGAGTCTGCCGGACGATCTGCATGGGCCACCAAACTTACGTGACTGGCTTCTCACGCCCCGGCAAGATATTGTCCGCTTTGGCCGAAGCCTCACAGTTTTGTTCCTTCTTGGGAAAAAATGCCTCTTACAAGGTGAAGGGGGCCAGTACGCTTATAAGTTGGTTGCAGTGTCCCTCCCTGGTCGATGTGGGATTGACCCAACATATCTACTTTGGGGTTGGACCGCAGCGAGCTTGCCCCCTCACGGTTTTGTTCCTCCCCCTGGAAAAAGGGAAAAGGCCTGTTGACAGATGGAGGAGGCCAGTACGCTTATAAGGTAGACGAGAAGTCCCTCCCGAGTCGATGTGGGATAGACCCAACATATATTATTTGAAAATTAGATTTACAAATATACTTTTATTTTTATTATGTTTTCTTCTCTTTTTTCCTTTGTGCTAGAAATGTAAAGGTACCCAATCTATGTGAATTAAATTTGGAATAAATTTTTATGTAGGAATCTTTTCTATTTAGAAAACATTTCAAAAGTAATACAAAAATTACTTGAAATATGAGATTTTTTAAACATTTCAAAAGGATGTATAATTCTTTAAACATTTCAAAAGAAGTACAAAAACTTCTTAGGGTTCGTTTGGGAAGTGGGTTGGGTTTTTGATTTTTTTGGCTATTTTAGCCTGGGACTAAAAAGCCTAGTTTGGTAAAGGCTTTTGACGCTTTTAGCTTTTTTGACTTTTTTATGAGAGAAAAAATGTAATGATTATGGGTTGGATGTGATGTTTTGTCTTATTGGACTAAAAAGCCCATTTTGTTTTTTGTGACTATTTTAGCCAAAAAAAACCTGAAAACTAACTTCCCAAGCAGAGGCTTAGTAAATTTTGGACAAATATATAATTTCAAAATATAACACTCCAATGTAACACTCAAAACGTAGCACTCAAAAAAAATTCTTAATGTACTTTTTCCAAACGTAAAACTCCAATATAATACTCAAAAAAAACTCCTTAACACTCAAAACGTAACGTTCAAAAAAAAAAAAATAGTGTACTTTTTCTAAACGTAAAACTCCAATATAACACTCTTAAAAAACTCTTTAGTGTAACACTTCAATGTAACACACAAAAAAAAAATTACTTAGTATATTTTTTTCAAACGTAACACTCCAATGTAACACTCTAAAAAATTATATGGGAATTTTCAAATCATTCCAAAATGATGTGAGATTCTTTAAATCATTCCAAAAATAGTACAAAAATTTCTTAGTAACTTTTGGATAAATGTATAATTTCAAACTATGAGTGTTATGTTTAAAAAAAGTAAATTAAAAGTTTTTCAGTGTTTTTGTATGTGTTACATTGGAGTATATTGCATTTGAGTATTACAGTTGGGATTACATTGATTGGAGTATTATGTTTGGAAAAAGTATATCAATGAGTTTTTTTTTGAGTGTTACATTTAGAAAAAGTATACTAAAGATTTTTTTTTGGGAATATTACGTTATTACGTTTAGGAAAAATATATCAAAATTTTTTTTAATGTGTTACATTGAAGTGTTACGTTGTTGGAGTGTTATATTAGAGTGTTGCATTTTTGTTCCTAATGTGAGATTTGTTTTAGAATGAGAAAAAAATTCAAAACCTCTAGTGTAAATTGTCCAAATGTGTAATTTTACATTTAGAGAAATCAATTTGTATCCCTAAAAAATTAACAAAAAATATGTAAGCAATTACCATTTTGTGTAATTTCTACTTTAATGAGACCTTTTGGTTTATAAGAAAAAAGAAAGAATTAAACAGTTCACAAGATTTTGAATTTTTTGATGTTTCACCCAATTCAAAATCATTTTTAAAACATGAGTAAAATTTTCCAAACTCTCAAGCGTCATTTGGCATGTGAGAGTTTTAGTCTATGGCCTTGTTTGTTTGGAGAGTTAGACAGGGAGATTGGGATTGGCATTGAGGTGGGAGCCATTAATATTGTGTTTGTTTCGAGAGATGTGGAGGGGATTGATAGTGAGCTCAGGATTAGGATGGGCCTCCCCAAGGGGATTCAAATGGGCCTCCAGGACTTGGTATTAGAAAAATAGTTCGGCGGACTAAAAATTTGTTTTTTGTATTTTATTTTTTACATGTCGGACATATTTTTTTTTGAACATTAATGTTTAATTTTTTGTATTTTTTGTTAAGTAAAAATCATTATTTTATTTGTTTTATTTTTTTCTGGAATTTTTTTATTTTATTTTTATTTTTTTAAATTTTTTTACATGTTTGGCATTTTTTTTAAAACATTAATGTTTAATGTTTTTGTATTTTTTTATTTGTTCTATTATTTTATGTTTATTTTATATAAAAATAACTTAACAATCCTTACAATAACAACTATCATCAAAACAAACATAATTTTACTTAATCCCCTCACTATCAATTCCCTCACTAACAATCCCCTCACTATTAATCTCATCACTAACAATCCCTTCACTATTAATCCCATCACTATCAATCCCTTCTATTCTACCTCTGAAAACAAATGGGGCCTAAGAATCAAAAAATTATTAAAAAAATTAAAAATTTTATAACTTATACTAAAAAATTAAAGATTCTTTTTTCTCTCTACTTTTTGCACATCTTTTCGTAAAAAATTAAAAAGTAATTCTAAACATACTAAATTTTTTTTACCTTATATTTTAACTAATAAATTAAAAAGTTACTGAAATAATCTATTCCTAAACAAGACCTAGGTCAATTTGGAAAAATATTTTAGAAACTACAGGTAAAAAACACACAAACTACTCGTCCCTTACGGGCTCTGCCAGTGCATGTGAGAAAATTATATCTAATTTTGTGATTCATTCTGTAAAAGAAAGGGATCGTAATTACCAATTTTTTATAATATGGTGCCCCAATGCGACTGTTGGTACATCATAGTTGGACCATGGTGGGTAGCCACCTGAGAATTGCTAGAGAAGATTGCACTTTGTCGTGTTTGACCTGTCATCCTCGGCTTCCATAGCAATTTCAATTCAATAGTGTGACCCAGTGGGGGTTGTCTTTGCTTTGAATAAATTTCAAAGAGCTTCCATTGGAAGCTCATTCCTCTATATTTGTTCTATAAAACCCATCTGCCCAGAATGGCCACAATTCAAGCAAACACACAACAATCTAGTAAAACAGAGCTTTCTTGATCTTCTTTGTTTTCCACTTTCCAAAATTTGCAAAACCATGTTTTCTCTATCAAACATGCCTTCAACAACATCGGTTTTGTCAACATACACCACTTTCGCTGCATCAGCCATGTTGGTTAGGACCGTGCTCAACGAAGTCCAAACCCTGACCAATCAGCTCATACCGCAACAACTCCAAGAGAAAATCTTATCCAAACTCGGCCTACTGGGGAACTTCTCTTCATCTCAAGTGACTCTTGTCATCGAGGAATTCAATGGGTTCTCCAAAAATGAAATGTTTGAGGCCTCGGAAATGTACTTGAGGACAAAAATAAGCCCTTCTGTTGCACGGCTCAAGGTGTCCAAAGCAGCTAGGGAAAAGGACTTATCTGTCACCATCAACAAGGGCGAGAAGATTGTGGATACATTTGAAGATATCAAACTCACTTGGCAAACCGTATGTACTGAGACGCAAAAGACAAGCACGGACTATGAAGGCTATTTCGCTTCTGAAAAGGTTGAGCGTAGATCGGTTGAGCTCAGCTTCCACAAAAAATACAAAGAAAATGTATTGAGCTCTTACTTGCCATTTATATTGGAGAGGTCAAAAGCTATAAAAGAAGAAAACAAGGTTGTGAAGATCTACACACTTGGAAACTTCTATGGAGAATATGATGGAGGAGCTTGGGGTTCAGTCAATCTTGACCATCCATCCACATTTGACACATTGGCAATGGATCCAATTCTCAAGAAGGAATTGATAGATGACTTGGACAGGTTTGTGAAGAGAAGAAAGTTCTACAAGAGGGTTGGGAAGGCATGGAAACGTGGGTACTTGTTGTATGGCCCACCGGGGACAGGCAAGTCAAGCTTGATTGCAGCCATGGCTAACTATCTGAAATTTCACATTTATGACTTGGAGCTCACGAGTCTCCAGAGCAATTCAGAGCTTAGGAGGCTTTTAGTCGCTACTGCAAACCGATCAATTCTTGTGATCGAGGATATTGATTGCAGTAGTGACTTTGATAACCGACAAGTTGGAGGATGCAATCAAAGTGACAGCCAGGTGAGTCCATTGTTTTCATTTTTGTGCCAATACACCTTTCAAACATCCACAAAACAAGTTTTTGTGCTTTTCAGAAACAAAAAATAGAAAAAGAAAACAACCACCAAATAGGCCCACTGTTTTCATGACTCAGCCCACGCCACCAAGAACACTAGCAAGAAGCCATAACATTAGGCCAAGCCACCTACTTTTCTATTCAATTTATAGTTAATAACAGATCTAGTCTTTCAATTTTCTATATCTCAACTATCCCAAAATATAGCCCTAGTTCCATGGACAGGCTACTCTAGCTAATAGCATTTATTAGACGTCTTACCATAAACTTAGCTTCAACTCTGGTTCAATCTTTCAAAAAACAAAAAAACAAGAACAAAAAAAAAAATTGTCTTCTCATTGCTTGTGCATACACTAGCGTCTTGCTTCCTCATTGATGTTTCTTTTTCTCATTGACAGTTGACACTATCCGGGCTACTTAATTTTATTGATGGGCTCTGGTCAAGTTGTGGTGACGAGAGGATAATTGTATTTACCACAAATCACAAAGACAGACTCGACCCTGCGTTGCTCAGACCAGGTCGTATGGACATGCACATCCACATGTCCTACTGCACTCCTAGTGGTTTTAAGATCCTTGCCACTAACTACCTCGGTCTAAACAACCACTCCATGTTTACTGAAATTGAGAAGCTCATAACAGAGGTGGAAGTAACCCCGGCAGAGATTGCAGAAGAACTCATGAAAAGTGAAATAGCCGACAAAGCCCTTGAAGGACTCATCAAATTCCTACACAAGAAGAAAAAAGAACATGGTAAAGTCAATGCTGAATCAGAAAAAGAAGCAAATGAACAAGCAAAAGAAAGCCAGGAAGTAAAGGTTGAAACTAAAATTAAAACAAGGAATAATAAGAGAAAGACGAGAAGGAGCAAGAGGAGGATTTGAAGGATATGTGAGCATTGTATTGCCTGTGTATGCTGAATAATAATGTATCTAATAATTAGTATAACCCTTCTTAGTGAAGTGAATAAATTACATCATGGCATACTTCTAATCCATGGTGCTTGTAGAAGAAGCACAAAGACCTTCCGTGATAAGAATTAAGTAGATGGAGTTTATTTGAATATGAAAGCAGAGTATATTTACTTGCAACTCTAATGCTTAACATGACCAAGGACATGGTGCAAACAATTTTGAGACCACTTTCATTATTTTATCTCATAATTGCTCGAATGGAGGCAACCTTAAGGAAGTTAGGGAGTTTTAACATGTGACATCCAGGTTCAATTCTAATCAGTGAACAAATAGGAGAAGAGCATGAGTGCCAAGTAGAAGCTCTATTTTGAGACAGCTTATAAAGAGTCCACATCTAGAGTAGTGTCCTAAAAAAATAACTTTAAACCACGTAGCTGAACATATTATCTACAACAAAACTACTTACCCAGAAAAAAATACCCAAAACAACACATCCATGGACCCACAATTATTCTGAGTGTAAGCCCACATCCCAAAAAATTTAAATCTACACCATGCACCTCACATAATTTTCAGGACAAAATCATGGTAAATAGCAATTTTCTTTTATTGAACACCTAAAATTCATGCCACACTGCAGTGTGTACCAAAATGCACAATCAAACACATCAAGAAAGAGAACAAATGCCCAAAAAGTATGAAACCGGTACTGGTTTTGAGACCGTCTTCAACTAAACATCACATTGCATTTAAAAAGGATTGTCACACAATCACTTTGTCGAACAACTAAAATGCAAAGTGCAGCATGAAGGATTTCTCCAGTAATCAAGACAACAACTTTTTAAAAACCAAACACAGCTAAACATTTTATTGAAGAATTAAAATTCATAACACACTCACAGCTTGTACCAAAATGCACAATCGAGAACGCATCAAGAAAACAGTACAAAGGCCCAAAATTTTGTTTTCAACTGACATCAGATTGCATCAGAAGAACTAGCACCCAAACAATTAATCTAACACCTGAAAATTCAACGTGTAACCATTTCATCAAACACCTTAAATTCAAGAAAAATGTGTGATCACTCTAGGCTGAATAGCATAAGCTCGAATGTACCAAAACGAAACGATTCGGGCCATAAAAAAATCAAGTTACCAAGCATTGTTGTAAATTCAAATCACTCTCACACAGCTGATATACCGGAACTTAGAGAACTGGCATATAGACATTTTATCAAACATCCAATCGCCCAAGGCGAGAAATATTAAGTACATCTCAAACTCAGCTAAGCATTTTATCAATCAAACACTCAGAAGGCAAAAATTTTGGAACTGGTATTGAAAAGGGGGCCGCGCGAACGCAGGCCCCCAGCTGACACAAATTACGACGTAGACTCTGCCAACTAGGGCAGATCTTAGGCTGGTACCCCTCCTAAAGTGCAATGGAGGTCACCAACCTAGGCCATGGACCTTGATGATCGTCCATTAGACCCCGTCCAGGTAAGTATGTTTCGTTGTGCGTCGTCTGTCTCTATTTATTGACTCTCTCTCCACCCTTCTCTTCTCCTTTCTTTCGATATGGGAAACTTGAGATGATTTTGAAACATCATTAGCTAATAGTGGGTCAGGATTAAAATTTTGTTTTCATACGTTGTTTAATGTTTTTAAAAATTAAAATTAAAATTAAAAATTAAAAATTAAAAAAACTAAACTAAGAGCACCTTCACCTAGGGGCAGATAAAGGCCGAGCCTAGTCAGATTCGGGTCGGGCTGACACTAAGGGTGAGTAGCGGATATATCAATCCGTCCAAATCGATCGAACTGAATCGATTCGTCACATTTTAGACAGATGCGTGATAACAAGCGGACGGTTACGAATTGATTTTTTTCAATCTGCCTAGTTTTGAACGGGTGGCGGATTTGAGATTCCTTTGACCGCAACCGCACCACCAAACCGTGAGCACCCCTAATAATTTGTAAGATTTTGTGTTTTCAATTTGTTTAGATATTCTATTTATGTTTTCGATTGAAAAAAGTTTAAATATTTTGTTAAAATAGATTTTTCAACTTGAATATATTTTTTGAATTGAAAAAAATAAATGTATTATTTTTTTATATTTTTTTATTTTTAAATCTAACTCTAAAAATAATAAATAAAAAAGATGATATATGTTGGTTGGTTTTTGTTTTCAAAAACAGATATAAATGTAATAATACAGAAACATACAAGGTGTGTTTGGTTTGTGTTTTGAGATAAATTTTCAAAAAAAAAAAAACATTGGTGAAAAAGTTTAGAAATTTTTTTAGTTTGTTTGGTTGTATATTTTAAAAATAGTTTGGGGGTTTGGGATGATTTGATATTTTGTTGTAATTGAGTAGATATGTGTGAGAGAAAAAGTGATTAAAAGGTAGAGAGAAGAGAAAAAAAAATGATTGATTGATGTGTAATAGAGAGAATTAATTTTAGAAATTTTTTGAGAAAATTTGTAACCAAACATGTTTTTGGAAATTTTCTTCCAAAAACATGTTTCAAAACACACCACAATCTCTACTACTGCTCTGTTCATAATTTTGGTAATTTGAATTGTTTTTATATTTTAAGAATCACATATTGTAATCAATGGCGGAGCCAGAAAATTAAATTAGAGTGGGCACTTTTTAATTACAATAATTTTTACAAAAATATTTCACGCAAGTTTTTACGATTGATTTCAAGAAACATCAAAAAAATAATAATAATAATTAATGTGTTTGGTTTTAGTTTTCTGAATTCAGTTTTTTGAAAACTGAGTTTTTTTATTTTTTGTATTTTTTTGTTTTTAGTGAATATTTTTTGAATTTTAAGTAATTTTGTTATTTTTTTAGATGCACCTTACTTAGATGTATCAAAATAGTAAAATATTTGTGAAAAAATATTTTAAAAAATTAATAAATACACAAAAATACAAAAAAAATATACTGAATTTTTATTTTATTTTTTTTATATTTTTTGGTATTTAATTTATTTTTAAAATATTTTTTTCACAAATATTATAATTTTTAAGTGTATTTATGTTAGGTGTGTTTAAAAATTAAAAAAATAGCTTAAAATATTAAAAAAATTCATTCAAAACATTAAAATACAAAAAATAAAAAAGTTGAATTTTCTGAAAACTGGAAACAAACAAGCTGAATGTTGTTTGTAACTAGTGTATCATGGACAATACAAAAAAAATATATGGATATAAGCCTTAAAATAAATTATATAATGATAAATTATTTTTTTGATACAAAATTTGATAAAAAATTCAATATAATAGTAATACAACGTCATCATTAGTACTAGCATTCACCCGTGCTATGCACGGGATAAATATTTTTTATTCATATATATTATACTCATTTTTTTTAATCATTTTGTTTCGCTTATATAAAACTTTTGATTTAACTCACTTTTTAGAAAATTAAGTTTTATTTTTTAGTAATTTTTTTAATATTTTACATAGTTTTAAAAAAAAAATTAGATATACATAATCTAGATACACTAAAAAAGTATAATATTTATATAATTTTTTTTAAAAAAAAATTCACCAAAAAATAAATAAATAAAAAATAAGAAAATTCAATACATTTTCGTATTTTGTTGTATTCAATAAATCTTTTAAAGATTTTTGTACAAATTTTATACCTTTTAAGTATATCAAGATTAAGTGGATCTAAAAATATAAAAATACGAATTGAAAACTGAAAAAACTGTTTTTGAAAATTCCAAACCAAATAGAGTATTATTTGTAAATTTAAAAGTTGTGTAAAATTATTAAAAAAAAATTAAAAAATTATGAGTTTAATGCACAAATAACTTAATACTTGTTATGATTTTATAATATACATAAAATTAATTAATTTCCCCTTACTCCACCCAAAATAAATTTAGTTGTATTATGTGTAAAATTATTGATTTTATTTTTCATAACATAAAATAAAAATAAAACTAACATGTATCGTTAATATAGTATTAAATTTAATAGATTCTTGCAACCTAAGAAATTAAAGAAGTAATGAAAATAATTAAATTTTAATTTTAAATTAAAAACTATAAAGAAAAACAAAAGAATTGAAATCATGTTTAATATGATAGAATTTTCATTTCAAAACATAATATTTCCGATTTTCAAGCCAAGTATGTACATATATATATTTTGAATTATGTAATACAAAATAAAACATGAAAGATTAAATTTGGATATTACAATTTTCTGCAATCTCTGTAGTCAAAATACAAAATCTCAAATGCTTGGAACAAAAAATAAATTATTAAAGAAAAAGAAAAAGAAAAACCGAGACTTGCATTTGATGGCGGATTGCGGACTGCTGGTATTCACTGCTAATGAAGGAAGTTGATGAAGTATATGTATTTGCAGTAGTGGATTGTTAGAAGTAATGGTTTAAGGGGATATGGATAGATGGGATGTTTTTTTATATATATATCAATCTGTTGTAGGATAGCGAGAGAGTGGGATTGAAAGTGTTTGAGGGTAGGAGAGATTTGTTTGAGGTAGGAGAGTAACAGATTTGTTTGGATAGGTTTTGTTTTTTTTTTTTTTTTTTTGGTTTGGGTAGGTTTTTTTTTTTTTTTTTTTTTTTGAGTTTGGATAGGTTTTTTTTTTTTTTTTTTGACAACTTTTTATGGATAGGAGTTGTGGATAGTGGAAGAGTGGGAGTGAAAATCTTTGAGGGTGAGGGACAAACGTAGGGTAGGAGAGAAAGGTGGAAGGATATGAGTTTTTATTGTTATGAAAGTCTTTGGGAGGGAAGGAAAAGAGCTATAAACTCAAAAGAGAGGTGCCACGTATTTTTCAAATTTATGAGAATTTTAGAATGGCATTTTAGGTGGAAGGATAGGAGTTTTTATTGTTATGAAAGTTTTTGGGAGGGAAAGAAAAGAGCTATAAACTCAAAAGAGAGGTGCCACGTATGTTTCAAATTTATGAGAATTTTAGAATGGCATTTTGAAGCCTTTTAAAACAACACTACATTCTATTATATATATAGTATAGATGTGATATCACCCACTAATGGTAAATAAACACATAGAGAGTGAACCTCACATATCAAATGTAACTAACAACCCAATAAATTTCATATCTTTATAGTGAGATTACTTATTTTTGCATATCACTAATAATGGCATCGCCGTTACATTCAAAAAATTTCATAACTAATATGGTTTATTTATAATAGTCTATTCATTTTCAATCAAAACAACCATTATTATTTTCATAATTTTTAAAATGTTTTAAACATTTCCCTCTAAAAATATTTTTGTAATTTTTTATTTAAAATATTTTCTTTATGTTTGGAAAAAAAAAAAAAGATTTCCCAAAATCCGAGGGGCATGTGATCCCCCTTGTCCCATGCTCCCTCCGCCACTAATTGTAATACTTCATGTAAGACGTTATGTAGATAAGACATGTTGTGATTGTAATATGTGGATGAGGCATATAGTGATTGTAATATTTTAAAATTTTAAGTTTTTTTTCTTTTGATGAGGCATGCAGTGCTTGTAATACTTTTTAAAATTATTGACTGTGATACTTTCTTCTTTTTTTTTAGGAAATGCACAAGTTGAATTACATTAAAAATTTATAAAATTTTAAACCACCAAACCAATTTGCATCCATTCGCCAATCCGCCAGTCCGTTCAATCAACATTTGCCAGATTGGCAGACGGATGCAGATTGATTTTCTCCAATCCACCAATCTGACTGATAGATGACAGATTGGAGGTTCCGTGACCACAACTAACTCACGCCCACCCCTAGATGACACTATATAATAAGAGATTTTGTACTCATCTAAGTCTGGCCCAGCCTAATTCTAACATTGAGTTTCTATATCTGCCCAAGATCGATCCAAAAAATAAGGCCGATTTTGGAAACCTAGCTAAAAGTTAACTTTTTAACTTTTTAGTTTTTTTGAGTTACATCACATCTTTACTTTTTTTTACACATTTTTTCAAAAAAAAAATTCAATGAGTTATGTTAGGGACCCAAATAAATTACTAAATTTTCTACGAAATCTCTTACATAGGTGTGAGACCCACACACATATGATTTGTGTAGGTCCCATAGCTTTTTGACTTTTTTAGTCGGGAGCTAAAAAATCTCGTTTGGGAAAGGCTGGATTTTTTTGTGAAAAAAAGAATGTAATGATTATGGATTGGATGTGATCTTTTGTTTTTTGTGACTAAAATGCTTATTTTATTTTTTGTGACTATTTTAGCCAAAAAAAATCTAACCTTTGGCTTCCCAAACGAAGCCTTATAAATCTCAAACCCACTTATTGGGTTATATTTAATAAATAAATAAATAAAATATTTCATAATTAAATTCAATCACAAATTATAATTTAAAAATAAATATATTGATATCATTATAAATTGAAATATTTTGTATATAAATTGAAAAATTTCTTACAAAAATTCAATAACATATCACGACAAATGGGAGTTTCAATAAAATCAACAAAGATAAAATTTATCCCAATAAAAAAATGGCTCAGGCTTGTCTCCAATTTGGAATCGAACTGGAGCGTGTTGTTGGACTATGTGAGTCCATTACGAAGTCCATATTGATAATCCGAACAATTCAATGTGTAGGGCTTGTCGGGTACTTTATCCCTGTAAAAAATCACGTTGATCAAATATCCAATCAAGTGGTTATCGATATCTGATCAATATGATTTTTTACAAGGATGAAGTACCCCAACAAACCCTACGCATTGAACGGTTCAGATTGATGTGGGCTCCGTAATGGGCCCACTGATCCCTATAAGAAGTAATGGTTTAAGGGGATATGGATTATATATATTTTAATGTATTATAAATAATTAATTAAATTAATAGTGGGCCGGACCGGGCTGAAAGTATAAATCTCAAACCCAACTCATTAATATTTCGAGCTGAAAATGTTGGCTTAGCTCGACTCTATGAGCTAAAACAACCTTCTTAAGCCTTAGAAAAATAGGATTCGGCTGGCCAATAGGGCGATGTCCACCCCTTCCTCCACCCGATGCTTCAAATCTGACGTAGCACTCCAACAATCATATTTTGGCATCAAATATCAATTCCATTTGGTATGCCAAATTCTGATGTGACATTTGGCATTATTCCTTCATGCCAATTTTGACATATTTTTACTTAATGTCTTTTTTTGAAATAATAGAGTTTCTATTTAAAATAAAAGAGTTTAAATTTAAAAATAATAGAATAATGAATTTGACATATCGGGTGGAGAGCTTCGATGTTAAATTGACAATGCCAATTTAATCCTTCAAAAAAATTTAACATACCAAATTTTGAAAGTTTGGGTGAAGATACTCTAATCACCTTATTTAATTTTAAAAAATTGAATCTATTTTTTAGAAAATTGAGTTTTTTTTCTAACTGTTTTTTTTTAATATTATATAAGGAATTTTTTTAGTTTTTAAAAATACCTAAAAAGTATAATATTTGTAAAAAAAATTCATTAAATACTAAAATGCAAAAATCCAATACATTGTCGTATTCTTGTGTATTTATTAATTTTTGCAAATATTTTTTTATAAATATTTTACTTTTTAGGTACATCTAAATTAGATGTATCTAAAAAGTAAAAAAAAAAAAACTACTTAAAATATTTTTAAAAAATCATTAAAAACAAAAAAATATGAAAAATAAAAAATTTAATTTTCAAAAAATTTGACTTCAAAAATTAAAATCAAGCAAGGTGAATAATAATAACATGGTTGGAAAATATGTTTGCCATTGTAATATATATATATATTAAAAATGTAAAATTCTTGTAATAGTAGGATATAAAAAAATGATAACACTACTTTGGACTAAGAAAGAGAGGTGAGCGAGTGATTCAATTGGTAAAATAAAAATGATGGTTAAATATCTATATTATCTATACTATTATATAAAGTGAAGGTTAAGTTTAATGTCAAATCAAAGTCTCTGGTTTAATAAATGAGACTCTTATCACTTAAATATCACGCATATGATAATATTAATTTTATTATAATTTGTTTTTATTTTTACTTACTTAAATTATATGTGTATCGCGTGTGTTAGTCACTAATTCTTATCGTAACAATTCATTGTTTTGGTATATTTCAATATGTTTTGGTTGAAAGATTGAAACTTCAGTGATTTATTAATATTTTTATTTCAATTTATTTTTAAAAAAATTGATTGAAAATTAAAATTTTGAAATATTGTTCTTCATCTATCGGCTTTACAACTCCGATCACATATTTACTCAATTCAGGTCATGCAAGGAGGCAACAAAAAGAGAGAGAACAAGGCTCGATTCCAAAAAGCATACACATACCGTAGTCGTGCGACCACGAGGTTAAGATCCTCGCACTCTACCAACTGAGCTAGATGGGCCTGTTGAGTTGCTCCGGATGGCTCATCTTAGAAGTTACTAAAAAAAAGGGTAGCAGAAAATTTTCACCAACCAATCTGCAAATTAGAGATCACCAAACATGGCTAGGTGACGTTGAGAAATTTCTCAAAAATTGTAACGATCGGTAGATCAAGAACAAAATAATGCAATAAACAAAAATAATGCAATCAAATTACTTCTACTGGATTTGCCTCAAAATGTGGATCTAAGCCTTGAATTATAAGGTGCAGATAAAATACATGTGAAAACCTCTACTCATAAGACAGGCAGGAGAGAGAGCAAAAAGATCCAAGGGTTACAAGGGCCTGTACAACTCTTCTTCTCTGCTAATAATTAAAAATTATATATATAAAAGGAGATACAACAGATTTACAACACTGTCTAAACTGCAACACGATAGAAACTCAACACTGGTATACCGAGAAGCTCTTGTTCTTACACCAAAAACTCCATGCCCTCCCCACCTTTCTTCTCGAGATCGACTTCGATAGCGGTTTCGATTCCGTTCCGGGCATGTCCATATCACTATTTTCCGGCATCTGATGAGTCTGATTCGGTGACGGATCACGTTGGCGCTGTTCCCGGAACAGTAACAAAAGTTTTTGAGCTTTTGATTTCCCTCTCATAGTCCCATTCACGGAAATCGACACCAATGAAGGTATCACCCCTTCTTGGAGGACCATTTGGCTGCATTTCTCATTACCGTTGCATAAAATCAGAAGACAAGCTGCCGCTTGCTCTTGCTCAACAGGTTCACCAACATCCAATATCATCGCGAGCCCACTAATTAGGCCCGTGGCAGATATCATTTCGTCTCTTGCTGATTTATTCGAAGCTAAGTTTATGAAGACAGCTATGCATTTTTCGGTCCATGTGTGGTGGTCACCTGAGTCGGAAACCAGGGATAGCAGACCGTTTATGATGCCTTTTGAGAGAAGGTATGGGATATTGGGGGAATGTGTGGAGAGATTGAAGAGGGCATGGAGGGCGTCAATCTTGCACTGGGGATCGGTTTCGGCTTGAAGAACTTTGATTAGGAAAGGGACAGCCTCGCTTACACCGATGATGGGTTTGGCTTCATCGAGGCAGGAAAGATTCAGGTAAAGTGCAGTTGCTGATCCGTGAGAGTAGGATTTTGCTATCATTTTCTCCAGCAATGGAAGAACTCCTGTCAGCATGATTTCCTTGTTTCTGAAGGCAAATTTGATACAAAAACAAAAAGAGATGTGCATTAGAATTACAAAAACATCATATTTTGAAAGATAAAAAAGCACAAATGTAACCAGCGGCTGAAATCAAGTCGTACTAGTAACATCACATACACTACATGACAAAGTCAATAAATATGAATGGAGATTTAGCTTTCCATAATTCAATACTTATTCAGCAGATATTTGATCCCATTTATCTTTGCTTGTTATGCTTGAGCAATGTTGCGAGGACTAGTGATACACAAGGATTGATTGACGTATAAAACCATACCCTACCTAGTACCTACCAATGACGCATTTGTGGCATTCATTCGAAATTAAGCACCAGAAAGACAATAACTTTAAGCTGAATAGTTCAGATCAACATAGAAAAACAAAATTCTAATTGACCATCTCCTCAGAGAGGTTGAGAGTTTCAACCCCACCAAATTGCTCCCTAATCAAAGAGGAATATAATGATGTTCTCTGAGGAACCAAGGAATTGAAAAATGCTTCTTTTTTTAGCCCCTCTTAAGTGGTTGCCTACAAGTGATTTAAAAATGAAGAAAAAGTATATCCAACCTGTAGAACAAGGACTTCTTTTAAAACTGACAAAAGGACATAGGGATGTAAACAGACAGCTCCAAGAATAACATAAAGGATGGTATTGCAGAACATAGAACCCTCAAAACAACAGAAACCCTAATAAAAACCAATAATCAAGAATTTGATTTGCTTCCATGATAATGCTTCTCGAGCCAATGATCAAGAATTTCTTAGAGAGGAGAGAGAACTACACTTCCATGGAAACACGATTATCTAAAACTAATAAAGCAATTGTAATTATATCCAAATAAAGGTTAATTTCCCTTTTTATTCCAGATGACCACGAGCCATCATCATGTTTTAAAACCCTCGCAACAGTTGCAAATTCCAACGTCATTAAATTTATTACTATACCTAAACACCATATTTGCCATTTTATTGAACAAGAGACAAACCTGTTATTGTTAACTGCAAGATTGAAGAGAGCCATAGCCCCAATTTCCTGAGCCGTTTCATGCCTTTCCTGCACAGCACGCTCTAGAAACCGCAACAGTGCTTCAACAAACCCATTAGCCCCCATACAGATCCTAGCTTCCTCATCATCCTTAAGCAAATGCCTTATCTTTTCCACAACTCGGCACTTTTTCCTCAAGTCTTCCTCTTTGTCCAAGATCATCAAAAGCTCATTATATCCTTCAAGAACATTAGGCTCAAAGTCTTCCTCTTGTTCGGGCACGTCTTCCACTTCAGCCTCCTCAATTATGCAACTCTCTTCCAGAGGAACCACCTTTACACCTTTCATCTTGTAGGAGCCAATACTGTTAATTGATTTTGAATTTGCAGACTCGCTCTCAGACAATACAAGCCTCCAGTAGTTGAGATCAAGAGACTCTGGGGGACCATCGGGAACAGGAACTCCATTCTGTTCACACCAACTAGCAACAAGACCTCTAACGCAGTAGTTAGGCGTCAAAGAAAGATGTGAGAGATGCTGCTGAGTCTTTGGGCACGTGTTGTGACTGTCACTAAACCATTTTTCAATACAAATCCTTTCATATGTTTGCCCTGAAGCTATGATAACCGGGTCGTACATGAGCTGCAACGATATTGGACACCTCAGCTCTTCAGGAGGGATGGCCATCTGCCCTGACCTCCTGAAGTTTGGCTTGAAATTGAAGGAACTGAGTTTTGAGAGTTGTCGCTCAAAGGAATGACCATTGATCCCAGGTCCACCGTCTTCGAAAGAGCCCTGAACAGTAGGGGAACAAGGTGTTGAACCCTGCGAATCATTGTCATCTGCAAAGTCGCTTCTGAATACCTTAGAGTATTTCCTCATGAGATGTAAAAGATAAGCCACGATTGACTCTTTTCTCTTGTCTTCCTCGATCCGAGCTCTTTCTATCAGTTTCTTCAGAGCTCTTCTCTCTGTAAGAGCTGCTCTCGAAGATGTGATGCCAAGTCTAGAAGAAGCTTGGTGAAAAGATTCAAGCTCATTGTTGTCATTACAGTTCTTGTTGAATTTCCTCCCTTGCTGTAGCAGTACAATTATATCATCACCAATTTGCTTCTCCAACGGATCAAGTGAGAACTCGATCCCCTCAAGTTCACTTAAAATTTCTGAAATCTGAAATACATGTACTTAAAGTTAGAATCAATATCATTGTTTTCAATAACATGGCAAGAGCTTAAAAAAAACTAGAAACAATCCCATTACATAAGAATATTACTGTTGCCTATTCCATATGATCTTGGGAAAATTATTGACTGTTGATGAACATGTTCCATTTAGAAACTTCTATTAAAACCTAAAGCAACCTATTAAAATTAGATTAAAATTACCTGACAACCAATAGCTTGTGGAACAATATCATTGACCCGCCTAAGACCATCTTCAAGAGAACATCTTGCCTTCTCAAATTTTAAAACAACAGAGTCCCCAGTTATAGCCTGTGTCATAAGATGAGTCTATCAGTAAAACATTACTTCAGGTCAATAAAGTAACAAAATAAATGCAAAACCTTTCAACCTCATCAAACCAGCACAGATGTCATATTTTCCAGCCAAACAAAGAGTTCAGTTTCACATATACATATCAATAAAACATATAGACATAAAATCAACAGAATTCTTCAATTCCATCATGTGGTGTTGTCCATCAAAGTTATCATCAAACCACAATTTTTTTGAAGGAATCATTAAACGACCATGATACATCAATTAAAAGGTCATTAACCTAGTGTTGTCCCGTCAATGTGGAATGTTTGAAGGGATAGACTGCACACAATCCTAATCTTAGGCATTATTTTCTGAATGTGACAACCCTAAGGTTCAAATGCATAAACTATCAACAAAGTACTAATATATGACAATAGAGCTACACATACACTAATGTTATTTTGAACACATGGACACTCAACCAAAAGATAAGGAAATACTAGCAAATGAATAACCATTCCTAAGTATAAAACCCATTTTCAATAGAGGAAAACATTGTTACTGCATAACAAATATAAGGTAATGCTATACAAATAGAAATTTTATACAGAATGATGTGGCTTGTTTATATTCATTCAATGGAAATATATATATATATATAAAATAAAAAATAAAAAAGGTATATATATATATATATAAAATCAAAAATAAAAAAGGCCATCACTATGATTCATAAATGCAAACATGTCATCACCACATCACTGTGTATGACTTTTTTGTATAAAAAATTTGTATGTTTAGCATTTTCCTTATATGAAAAAGGGAGAAATCATACCAAGTAGAGTTTACTACATCCGGAGCAATGCTGAAGAATATTCTTGGTCTTCTCAAGCGCTATGTGCAGAGAACATAATGCCCGAATACCTGTTGTGCTACTAGGCCGTGCTGCTTCCAGATTAGGGAAAATTCCTAGCACTTTGCAATAAATTGCAGACAGTGTCTTGCACATTCTTCCATGTAACTGTATTAGCAACCACACATTTGTCAATCCCACAATCCTCGTTCCTCAGTTAACAGAAACTGTGGGCAAACTAGAGTGATATGTCACAAAATCAAAACCCTAATTGCTCACAAGGACTATTTTCGCAATTCAGCAAGCCTAGTTCAGAAATGGAACTCTAAAAAATACAAATACATTTGAGCAAACATTTTTTTTGGGGAGTACAAACATTTGAACAAACATTGCCACATAGTAAGTTCCAACTTAGTACCAAGTTCGATTATGAAAGGTTAAATCAAATGTTAATCATATACTCAGCTTAAAATATATCCGTATATCTATATGTATGTGAACATCAATTCCAATAGCAAAAATGAATTGTGCACCCAAAGCATATGGAAACACAAAAACAAGACTTTATTAAAAATTTCAACTAAAAAACTATTCAGCCTGACCAACAACTATTCTCAAATGCCAGAATAAGTAAACAAAACAACAACAAAAAAATAAACAAGTTGTAAAAAATGTTCTATTTGCATTATTGTCATTCCATATCTACCTTTGCATCACCAATTGCAAATAGATTTTCTTCAATCTCAACAATCTCCATAACTCGCATTCAACCGTGGAAATTTGTAATTTAATTTATATCACCTGAAATGAAAAAAAGTAGAATTTAACAAAATCAGTACAAGCCAATAGGAAACATCCCTTCCAAAAGAAATGATAACCAATTTAAATGAGGAAATAAATTTTTAATTATAGTCATCAAATGAATCCAGAAATAATAATATGTCAAGAAAGACAAGCAGAACCACAATTAACAAAATAAGAGGAGTAAAAATAAAGAATTTCATAAATTTTGATGATTATAATTTATAATTCAATAAAACACAACTATCTTTATATCCCCATATATTAGAGAACCATTAGAAAACATAATTTGTTACCCATTTCCTCACATTGCATACCCAGTTTTCAAAATTAAAAAATTAAAAAATAACATACATATATACTATGAACGGTAATGGAAACAAAAACATACAAGAGAAAATGGCAAAAACAAAGAATTAATTTCCAAGCAAAAAGCATAAATTTTGATTATCTTAAGTCAATAAAAACACATTTACCTTTATATCCCAATACATAAGAGAGAACTCTGAAAATATAATTTTTTTACCCATTTCCTCAAATTGCGCACCCAGTTTTCAAAATTAAAAATTTTAAACAACACATATATATAAATGAGGAACAGCAATGGAAACAAAAACATACAAGAAACCCAAACACTGAAACAAAATATAAATTCAGAGAAAAAAATGAAGTAAAAGCAAAAAAGTATATCCTCAGCTGAGATCTCTATTGGGACGAAACACGAATAGAAATTTCAGGTATTGAAGCTCTCAATAAATAAAAACGAAAACCCAAAACGTAAAAACACAGAACCAAATAGCTCCGTAATGCGATTCATACCAAACCTAACGCGTAAACCAAAGGAAATCAAAACACTTTCTGAAAACAAAAAACAAAAAAACAATATGCAATCTCCGTTGTTATCTTCAATGTCCAACCAAAAACCCAGGAAAAAAAAAAGAAGGATTTCGAGCTGAAAATGTACCAGAAAAAACTGAATCAACCAAGGAGGCTTCATTAAAGGGACATTTACAGAGATGAATCGAGGTATAACGCGTGCTGGGGCATGAATGATCTGTTAGCCATCTCATCACAGTTGGGTTTTCACATTCGGATCCGCAGTGCTAGAAAGCGAACATCACGCAGCTTAGAGAGAGAGAGAGAGAGTTAGAGAGAGAAAGAAAGAGACAGGGGATTCTGAGAGGGAGGGGGAGAGAGAAGGAGAGAGCGCTTTTGATGATTTTTCTAATGGTGAGGGAATTATTAAAAAATTAAGGGCAAATTACATATACACCCCTCGAGGTTTGGCTAAATTACAAATACCCTTGAGGTTTGAGAAATTACGAATTCTCCCTGAATGCTATATTTGCATAAGAAATTAGGGGGTAATTTGTTATGAAATATAAACCTCAGGGGGTAAATTGTTATGAAAATACAAACCTCAGGGGGCGGGATGTAATTTCCGAAACCTCAGGGATATCTGTAATTTAACCAAACCTCGAGGGGTGTATATGTAATTTGCCCAAAAATTAATATTAAAAAACATACTATTAATTGGGCAAATGTCCCTCCATGTTATGGTGTGATTTTGCTTGATGTTATTTTAATTATAGATTAATTGGTTACTTATATTTTTCTGTGTATATATATATATATTTTTCGAAAAAACTTAACAAATTATTAAAATAGTTTATTCTTATATTACCCCTTAGTTTGATTTTAATTTTTAATTTTATATTAATTTGATCTAATTAAAAACATTGATTAAGGTTTGTAAAAAAAATATAATCATTAAATTGATTGAGATTAATTCTTTATAAAACATGTTGCTTGTATGTATTTTTCAATCAGAAAACACTAGACATTGTAATTAATCATATCAAATTGAAATAAAATTATAAATTCATATTTAAAATTATAGAGAATAAAATATCATCAGAGTAAAAGTTTATTTTTATTTTTTAAATTTAAGAAATATTTAAATTAAATTAAAATGAAATTATAAATTTAAAATTAAAAATATAAGGATTAATAATGTAATTTATATTGTTTAATTTATTTTTTTATTTGAAAAAACAATTTTTTGCTGATTTTGTTATCCGCGGTTCACCGGCCAACAATTTTTTGCTGATTTTGTTATCCGCGGTTCACCGGCCGACAGTTGCCGATCTTCTCGTTTGTCGGCACGCAGATCTGTCATAAATGTGATATGAAATTACTAAATTACCCCTCAAAAACCTAACCTAAATTCAGGCTCAATATGATCACTTAATTAACCGTCAAAAATGAACTTTTTAACCTATTGTGAATTATATTATTACTCTATATTTTTACATAATTATTTTAAAAAAAATTAAAAAAAAATTTTTAAGATTTTTTTTTAAAGTTTTCTAGAGTGTTACATTGTGTGGTTGAAATTTACTGGCAAGTCACATCAATTTTTCTTATGTGACTTGCCAATAAATCTCAACCACACAATGTAACACTCTAAAAAATTTTAAAAAAATTTCACTCTAGAAGATCCTTGGTGTTTTAACTAACTTTTCAAAATAATCCTTACCTCATTTAAGAATTGTCAAAGCCATCTTAACTTTAAGATTGTCAAATGTATCTAACTTTGGACTAAAAAGAGTTCAAAGTTCGAAATTTCCACATATGAAATCGATTTCTTTTGTCACCTTGTTATCATAAAAAAACAAAAAGGTTGGTTTAAGATTCCTATTTTACATTTTAAAAAAGTAAAAATCACAAATAATAAGGAAGTCAGTCAAAATAAGATGAAAATTATCAACACAATAATAGTATATAGCCGATCTTTTTAAAATTCTTACCCGCTTACTCTAACTATACGATGTACATTTAAAATTGTCATTGTTACCATATATTTATCATATTTTTAATGTTGAGTATATTAAAATTATATAATAATAATTTTTTTAAAAAAAATCACTTTTCACTTCAATTTCTAATTTTTTTTTAATGATAACAATTAAATTCTTATACTGTTGTATTTTAATTTAAGAGTAATGCTAGAGATCCCAAATATTCTACCAAAAATTTTACCAACGTGTAGGACCCACACAATATGAGGCATTTGGTAAAACTTTTGGTAAAATTTTTTAGGCCTCTAGTATTTTTGTTAATTTAATTCTTCAGTTACTTACCGTTTAAAATTTAGAAGAAAAATACCCAAGTGAGGGTCACATTAATATGTTTTATGAGCATTAATATGTATATATAATTACACTTTTTACTCTTTAATTTTAATTTTACATTGATCTTTCATATTTCACTTTTTTACTTAATTTTTAAAACAAAGTCGGAATTATAATGATTTAATACTATAATTAAAATGTAAAGAACCAAAATAAAATAATGTAAAACTTGAAAGTGAAAAGTATAATATAGGGTAAATTACAAATACACCTACTGAGATTTGTTTAAAATACGAATTGTCTCCTGTGATTTAAAAAATTATAAATACCTCCCTGTCATAATTTTTTATTTAACATAACTAATTGAAAAAGTGAATTAAAACAAAGGCTAAATTATAATGATTTAATACTACAATTAAAATGTAAAGAACCAAAATAAAATAATGTAAAAGTTGGAAGTGAAAAGTATAATTTAGGATAAATTACAAATACACGCCTAAGGTTTGTTTAAAATACGAATTGCTCTCTGTGATTTGAAAAATTACAAATACATCCCCATCATAATTTTTTATTTAATAGAACTAATTGAAAAAGTGAAATTTCTAACTATTTACCTATACGATAATAAAATTATCTGAATTATTAATTAAAATAAAATTTTAATATTATTAAAAACTGTTAATTAACTTGATAATTTATTAATAAAATGGCCTATTTGTTATGAAATTAGAAATCTGAAGGGACATAATATAATTTCTAAAACCATATAGGATAATTTATAATTTAAATAAATCTCAGAGAGTGTTTGTAATTCACCAGATAGTTTATTTCAAATTTTAATAAAACTCGCATATGATATGTGTTTTTTATTAACCCAATTAGGGAATTGACAATGATGGTTGTATTGTATCTACAAAACTTTAAGAATGCACTTATCAACTAACTTTGCCAATCGCCCATTGCCCATTATTCCATTACACGTAGATTTCATATATACATATAGAAAGTGTTGTTAAAGGTGACAAGTTTTTTTTACTGGGTGTTTAGGTTGATCGTAGGGAACATGATATTTTAAATTTTTTTACGGAGTGTTTAGGTTGACCATAGAAAACATGATGATAGCATATTTATTTAATCAAAACTTTATCAAATATAATAACATGAAAATGAAGGATTAATGAATGAAGTTACTTGTTAAATGAATGATTAAAACAAGGTAAAATTTGGAAAATCTCTTCAAAATCATCTTTATTGATTTATTTTTTTTAGTTAAATTATTGTATTAGCAAAACTTGCGCCAAAATTTGAGAAAATCTTTCTCATTACTTTTCTCGTGATGCAAAGCACATATAATATTTATTGGACAATCTTTAATGGATTCTGTATAAATTAAGTTTGTGTACTTAATAACAAACAAAAGAAATATAGGAAAGAAGGGAGAATGTTTGATTACAAAAATCAAACTATAAATAAAATTAAATAAACAAAACCAGATTTTATTTTGTTACAAAAACAAAAACAAAATTTAATATAAATAAATAAAACAGAAAATAAATTAACAACTTACTTGATTAATTTCTTGAACAATATTCTGATCAAATCCAATGTTTGACAATGTGTCTTTAAGACAGATTCGTCTTCTCCACGATACTTTCAGATTTTCGGACGTCTATCTCTCAGGATAAAATGATCAACAACGAATAAATGCAGTATTACAATTTATTCGCACAACGAACACACTAAGTATATACACTTTTTCTCACAAAAATTTAATACAGCAAAATGCAGAGATTATTTGCAGAGGGAAAGTATGAAAATTGTGAGTGAAAAATCTAAATGAGGGCTACTTTATTTATAGATGACTTGGTGGCTTTTTAATTTGAATCCAACTGGTAGCAAATCTGTTTTGAACAGATACAGTACTTGTTTGGCACTATTTAAACAGATTCAACCTGTTTGGTGTGAATTTTAAACAAATAACTGAATCTGTTGCACAAATTTGAATTTGTTTTAGACAGATAAAATCTGTACAGAAAAAGAATTGGACAGATTCGAATTAACTATACATAATTTGAAGAGATGCAAACTAATTTGAATTCAAACAGATTTTATTTTACCAGAAATAAAATTAAATTCAAATATTTTTGGCCCAAAAAGATTAGTATTGTGCCGGACAAGTCCAACCCAACCTCATACCGCGTACCCGCGCCCAAGCCCAAGCCAGCCTGCCAGATGGACAGCGGCGATGCGCGCGTGTGTAATGATTTTTAGGTCCAATGGGTCTAGCCTATTTAGTTCATAACCTCCCTCTCTACAAAATTTGGGTGCCCCTTGGAGTCTACCCCAAGTTCCAACTCCAAGTCTTATAAACCCACTCAAAGTTTTCCACAAAATCAATGTAGGATAAGCCATAATTCAAACTTTAAGGAATTTTCACAAAAAACTCCATTTCTATGAAGCTCACTTTGGCTTCAATTTTTCATTCACTCATAATAGTTTTAAGCAACCAAATATACTACGTGAATCACAACGCGACATAGAACGCGTTACTGCTTTGACCTGCGAAATTTGGCGCATGGGTCCCATTTAAAAATTAGACCAAAGTTTAGGAAGAAATCTGTTTTTCTAGATTTTCTCAAAACCATTTCTAACAATATTTTCATTTAACATTTTATGAAAAAAATAAAAATATTAAATGACAACATACTATAATTTTGTAAATTTTGAATTTATTATGATTAGTTTGGTATAAAAAATCTCACAATTTTACCTACAATGACTTGATAAATTTTTTGTCATAAACTCAACATGTACAAAACTTAACTCCTTTGTCATATCATTATGCCATTTAAATTGTGGGTTTGTAATATTTTATTATTAGTAGTATTATTAACCATTGAAAATACTTTGATGAAACTTATTTTTAAAATTTTCAAGAAAAATAATTTACAAATATAAATTTTAATATTGATTTTAAAATAAAAAAACTTTGAAAATTATTTTAATGGACTTTTGATTTTAAAATAAGAATACTTAAGTTTGCCACATCATTTTAGAAAATATTAATAT